AACAGGGACGTTGCATCTCATGCCAATCAACGTTAACTCTGCATCCCTTCACCCACGTCCCCTCCTCTCCTCTCGCCCACCGCACCTCCACGAATACTCCTCGGCCCAAGCCACCCATTGAACAGCATGCAGGGTTGGTCTCCCTCCCTCTCCCTCTCAGTCTTGTTTTGAGTCGACTCAAAACAGGGCTGGTCACCCTCTCCTTTAGTCTTCCATGCCATCTCTCCACCTGCTACTCCTTCAAACTTCAAACTTCCAGGAAGGAGCAATCTACTGCTACCTGCATTGGCCCTTCTGTGCCTTAGCCACTCTTCTCCCTCATCCTTGCCCCGTTCCCACCATCCCTGCCTGGACCTCGCACCCACCTCACACTCACCCCGCCCACCCTCGCCAGGAGCTCTTCTCCAGGCTACAACCCCCCCGGCTGGAGTCCTTTCTCCCCGGTCTGAGAGAGGCGGACATTGGAGTGCAGGTATGCGTTGCTCATATTGACTTTGGGACTCCTCAAAAGTTCTGAGGCGCCCCAAAAGTACGCTCTTTAGAGCTGCTTCGAAACTGGACTCTGGTGCTCAGGCAGGTACTTTTCTGAAGTACACCACCATACAAACACCATTCGTACTCATTTGTACTCATTTGTACTCATTTGCACCATTGGGGTTGACGCGAGCACCATTGGTGTGTCCCAGCAGTCACACTGGCTAGTGTTGCCTGCTCACTTGTGCTAATCTAGCAAAGCATTCCTCCCTCTATCCTCCCTTTATTCACATCCCACTTGTTGTGCCCTTTCTCTCTTCCTCACACTCCCTCCCCTCTCTTCTCCCCTCTTCCCCCCTCTCCCTTCCCCACCAGGTCATATTGGACAAGCTGCTGTGCATCAAGGCAGCAGTGTTCCTGTACCCACCACTTACGGTAGTTGCAGGAGCTCACATCCCCACGTGTGCCCGTCCTCCCTTCCCACGCACCCCCACCCCTTTCCCCCCCGCATCTCTCCCCCACCAGGCCATATTGGACAAGCTTCTGTGCATCAAGGCAGCAGTGTTCCTGTACCCACCATTTAGCTGCACGAACTCACATCCCCACGTGTGCGTGTTCTCCCTTCCCATGCACCCCCACCCCTCTCACCTCCACCCCTCTCCCTCTCTCTCCCCCCCAACACAGGCCATATTGGACAAGTTGCTGTGCATAAAGGCAGCAGTGTTCCTGTACCCACCGCCAAGCTGCAGGAACTATGCACGCACAGGAAGTGGCTCAGCAGTGGCAGACGAGATTTGCTGGTGGCGGGAACGGCAAGGGGGTTTAGCTCCTTGCCGGATGTGGAGTGATGGACGTTGATTGATTCTTCCTTTCTTTCGATTGTGGACGCGATGCAGCCTAGTATGCTTTCCTCCTACAGTAGCAGTACCACCAGTGTCTCGTCTGTTTCTATCAATCCAATCCAATCCAATCTAAACCAGTTGTCATTTCTCTACCAAGTCGCTCCACTTTGGTGTCCTGGCCATCTATTTGTTTCGCTAGTGTCCATTGCTGCAACAAATGGGTGCGTCAGAGATGTCAAGTACGGTACGGAATCTTACTGTACTTGACGAGGCTTAAAACTGGTACCACGAGTTCAATAGACATGTAGGTATAGGAGTATCATGTCATTGCAGGAAAGCCTCTGAATTATTGGGCACAAATTAGGTTCATGAAAGGCTGGACACTGAACAAACACCGCAAAGTGAAGGCACAGCAACTTTTTTTGGATTTCAGTACATACACAGTTCCGGTACACTCAAACACGCACGTGGAGCAGCAAACACTGATACAAACGCGTGCTATGTACGGGTATGTACAATCCAGAAACGTACGTAGTATACAACCTGCTAACTAATGTAACCTAGTACACTAGGGCAGCAACACCATCCAGCATTGGTGTCCTACATTGGGTTGGGCCCCACTCATCCACCATACCATGATAATCAAACAGGTAGATTCCTCTGGACATTGGGTATTCCCCAAAACGAAGTCCTTTCCCATTGGGTATTCCCCAAAACGAAGTCCTTTCCCTTCCCACACAGCTGCTGAAGCTGAGCTGCGGCGAATCAACAAAGCTCATTCCAGTGCCGTGGGTGCCATGCAACATGCCATACTCTCTGCCCAGTCTCCCTAAGCACACATGCCTATCAGCGGCCGCCCAGAACGCTTGTGCGTTGGGGTCGAAGGCGAATCGCGTCCACCAGCAGCAGCGAGCGGAGCAGGTACGGGAGACGAAGACTAGCCTCTGTACGGGGTCCTGCGAGGTGGTGAGTTAGAACCGATCCTGCTAAGCCACTAAATCAACTGGCGCTTAGGCGCCGTCAGACTAGTGTTGACGCTAGCCTAAACACACTGCCTGGCCTAGTCAGCTGCTGCACTGCCGTTGATGCTGCTGCTGCTGATGCCGCGCTGGCCCTGCTGTAAGCATTTGGGTCTGCTGCTGCTGCCGCGGCTGCTGCTGCTGCTGCTGCTGCGGCTGCAGCTTTTAAACCATGGCCCACACGCGTTGACGAATGAGGTCCCTCTCCCACTGCGCCACGTCATTGAACGCGAATTCCGGAAGCTGCTCGAACTGCGGCTGGTACGGGCTGTTCTTCGCTAGGTCGTACGTCGCCGCGCGTATCGCGTCCTTCTTCGGACCGCACGGGCGGAGAGACGTAACATGATCGTACGCTGAGTTCAAGTCGACCTGCGGCTCGGAGAACCAAAAGAGGTAAGCGATTACTGCTGCAGGGGACCTCCCGAGGCCCGCGGTGCAGTGAACGTAGACGGTCTTCCCCTCTGCGACGGCTTTCGCGATAACGGCGACCATTCGTGGGAGTTCGCGGCGCAATGAGTGCGGGTCGAAATCAACAGCGGGGCACCGGGAATGCTCCACCGACAGGTCCCTGCATCGCCGAACAATGCCGTCGATGTCGACGCCCCAGTAGGTTATATCGTGGTCCTGTTGGAGATTAAGAATCACCTGCACGTCTTCGGATGTCTTTAATCGGTCGATATCGGCAGGAGTTTGCGGTTGCGATCCGACGATTATCTTTGGATGGACGCGCGTATAGTAGATTCCGAGATCGTGGTGGTATTCGTACGGGTTCGCCATCTGCCGTTTCATCTTCTCGTTGTACTCGAACGACGGCGGTACGACGAGCGGCTGTGGCAGCTGGGTCTGCTGCTGCTGCTCGCGCTCGATTGTGCTCGCAGGCCCCTCGCAGCGAACGACGTGCGACGCATGGCGACGAGAGGTGGAGGTGGAGGCGAAGCAGTGCGACGCAGCGTGCGACGAGTGCGACGACGTATTGAGGGTTGCTGGAGTGCAGTCCGAGAGTAAGTTGTTGGAGTGGCGGTGTCCGGCTAAGGACGCGGAGATGGCTGGGTGCCCAAACGACGCTCGATCCGGACGGTTGGAGCCATGATTAGCGGACGGCACGCCAGCATTCGCAGGGTTCAGACCTAACGGAGAGGATAACCTACGAGGAATGGTTACAGCCATTCAAAAGAGGCGGAAAAAGGTGTGCTGACTCACACAGCCAAATAAGAGTTAGCGACGATGCGATAGTCGTAATGTGGGAGGAATAAGGCTACAAGGTCGAAGTCTGACAGAGAGATCAAGCAGTGCGGGTGATGGCTATGGTATGGAGAGAGGGAAACCGAGTCAGCAGGAGGACGTGAAACGCACGAACCTAGGGGAAAAGCAGAGCGGAAAAATGATCAGGTCAGGAGTGTTTTACAGACCATCTAGCGACCCCTTTTTATCTGTGTGAGTGGATCACGCCAGAGGCAGCTGGACCCGCGCTTCGCCAGGGGGGAAGTTGGAAGGGTGCGGGTGGAAGTGTGGGGTGTTGGGGGAAAGCGTACGTTGGTGGGGGGAGGGAACAGGGGGTGTTGGGCTGTGGTCGAGGGGAGTTCCCGCAGGGGATGCGATTCCGCTCCCAGCCTGCGATTCCGCTCCCAGCTTGCGTTTCCGTCGGGAAATGGGGGAAAGAGCGCAGTGGATCAAGGTGTTTTTGCAAGACTGGGTGGAGAGGGGAGAGAAAGCGCAGCCCCACAGTCAAGGGCGGTGGCGACAATGCAGCGCTTGTTGTGCGCGGGGGCAGCGGAGCGGAACCTCCTACTGTACTGTACATGAATTGCATGTTCATGAACGGAAAAGTCGGAGATTGCGGCATTGTTGTCGGGGCGGAACGAGAGCGTGATCCAATGTTCCAAACTTCAACGTTGTGTCACAGGTGCATCATGAAGGCAACCAATCGCGCATGCAATTGTATGGAACAGCAAATGTTCCTCGTGATAGCTAGTACGCCACAAACCACCTTGTACAGTTTCTCCGCTTCGCAATGCCACTGACCGCCCAACCCACCAACCAATCCCTTCATTGGCGAAATCGCGCGCATCGGCGGAAATCGTGTTTGTCTCAAAAGAATCGACCCAAATTGCTCCCCGCTCGCCACGTAGACGTTTTTCTCAATTGATTCGACCCCCTTTCCCCCCGCCCCCCCACCCCGTTTTTCCCGCCCTTGCCCTCCGAAATTCGGGCACCCGCTGCAATTTCGTGAAATCACAAAACGTCACGAATACATGTTTTTTCGTAACCCCAGGATTTCAACATGCGAGCGACATCTGATTGGACAGAACACCTATGACTTCTAATGATAAATTTAGCAGTAATTTGGATTTTTATTTATTATGTGCCACTGCAGTAACATTTTTTTTTGAATCTTTGTAATACGATTAAATGTTGTTTCTAAAAAATATCAAGAAGTACAATAAAAAAATCTACCTATTTCAAAAAACATACTTTTTTAATTTTGCCCTAGAGTGATTCCTATTTGAAATTTATGAAATTTAACTCTTAGTTTTATGAATTCTGGAATAAGCATCATGTATATACATAAAGCCCATAAAAAATTATAGGTTTTTTGTCGTGTGTTTTTTTGAGACCCTAACTACATTAATGGCATGGGCTAATCCAAAAAAATACGATACAATCAACGTGCATATGTTGCTCCTGAGATTGAGAAGCAACCGCTGAAATTGTCTATTGCGAAAGCTGATGTGGCATCCCACAACTACATGGTGGATTTGGCGTTACGAAAAAGAATGTATTCGTGACTTTTTGTGATATCACGAAATTCCAGCCGGTGCCCGAATTTCGGAGGGCAAGGGCGGGAAAAACGGGGTGGGGGGGCGGGGGAAAGGGGGGTCGAATCAATTGAGAAAAACGCCCACGTGGCGAGCGGGGAGCAATTTGGGTCGATTCTTTTAAGAGAAACACGATTTCCGCCAATACGCGCAATTTCGCCCCCTTCATTGCTGGAATTTGGAAGTCGAGTCATTTGCCCCGCAGCCTGAGGTTCCAACAGAAAAGCACCCAGGAACCGTGCGGAAATGTCGGTAATTTAGCGATCTTTCCACGTGTCGCGCGCTAATTCCATGCGCGCTTGCGCTTTATCCAAAGTGTAGTTGTACAGCAGCTTCAGTTGCGTGTGTCCCATGCACGAGCGGATAAGCTGCGGTTCGATAGGAATTTGAGGCGTTCGCAACTCAAGCCGCTGACACCAGCGATCAGTCGCTCCTCGCTGCCCAACCAGCGGACGCGACGCGCCGTCAGCCAGTCACAGTGGGGGGGACTTAATGTCAAGTCAACAACTTGGAAGCTCCAGTGGACGGGAATGATCCAGAATTATCTGAGGAAATCGTCAGAAAAAGTACACGTGGCGCTCTTTCAAACGTTGAAAAGTAGAGGCGGCGGAAGAATAGGAAACCAGAGCACATCTCAACCGCACACAAGCTACTCATTCCTTCGTTGTCGAACATGTTCTCCACTACCAAGGGACCATGGCTCTGTTCTGTAGGCATTTGCCCGAAGGGGGAGCAGGGGGGCCGAAAGCAAATGGCCAGGTTTCGTACGCAGTTTCCCAACCGAAATCACATCCACCCCGCAAACAAACGAAAGCGCGAAACTTCGAGAGCGAGGGCGGAAACTGCTGACGGTGAATGGCGAAATTACGCGCTCAACTTCGCGCCCAGTAGGCAGGGGTACATCGATGGGACCAACCCTACATAGCAGGGTAATCATTTGCCAAAAGGGGGGTCAGCGCTAGAAAAACGGAAGATGGTTGAGAGCTCCGCAAGGGTTTTCAGTCTCTGCAAGATGGTTGGGAGCGAGTTCTTTTCGTCGTTTCGGGTTGTGCTTTTCTGATTGGGTTACGAGCAGCCTGAGGGAATGGCCATCGAGGGTAGAAAGGGGGTGTCCTCCCCCCCCCCGTACCTCCCTCCCATGTCTCTCGCCACGCCCTGAAAAAGCGGGTTTCGAAGGGCGGGGCGAGTGGCGTGAATTTTGCCAGAGAAGGAAGGTGGGGAGGGGAATCGGTAGTTTCGTATGGGCCAAAAACCCACGGGGGTAAATGGCTGTTCTGCAGCCATTTCCCCTGAACAGGTTCCATGTGAGATCTTGTTCGTAGTTTTGACACCAGCTGTTTATGCGTGTCAACCCAAAGCGCTAGTGATTTTGCGTGTCATCACTGTAGCATCGGTGTCAACCCGAAGCACACGTAGAATCATCAACGACGCATTCTGATTAGCTGGGACCTACTAGTGTATTCAATGATTGGTGCATGTCCAATCCAGCGACATTCTCAACTAGCTGTTAGGTCTCAAGTAGGAAGCGGTGCGATTTTGTTGGGTGATAGGGGTGATGAGATTGCAGCTGCGACGATCCTGATTGGCTCGTAGGCATTGACTCTGTCAGAGTCAGAAGGTATCCGACTAGTTTTACTCGTTATCAATCTGCGAAATTTTGACACTCTGCCAACAATGCATGCTCGTGGCAAAATGGCAAAATGACACTGGTGTCAAAACTACGAACAAGCCCCGATTGCGTGAATTCCGGAATTCAAATCTCCTAAGTTCGTCGCATAATGTATTACAGCTACACCATTGGTATATGCGTTACTGAATGTACCTTTCATTCAGCTAATCACAGTCACGAAGCTGACTGTATGTGCCTCAATACTGCACTGGGGGATCCGTAAACCATCCACAAACAAATCATCTACATTGCTGTAAGGACGTATTAGGGTTGGCGGTAGACACATGACGCCAGCTACTATGGCGACCGCCGATTAACGCTCGCTTCTAAGGTACTTCTTGCTGCTGTCAATTGCGTTGGTTGCGGCTCTTCTCATCTTCCTCGTTTCCCGGATTCCTGTGCCAGGCGTTGCGGCTTAGCTGACAGCGTCCGCTTGGGCTCCTGCTTGGCGTCCGTCTGCTTGACAACTCGACGATCCCGCTAAAGCCAAGCGGTTACCAACATTGCTTCCTTAATCGTCAAACCAAATCAAACGCAACCATTCTGAAACGTCCTCGTGCGAACGCCTGCCTCCTGTGCGACCTCCGTTCTACCACTCTCGCTTTCTTCTCCCGCGTCGCTGCCAAGATCGACCTACCGCCGCTCCACATTCCAGATCTCCCCTCGCCATTCCACTCCGTGCGTGTCTTGCTTACAAGAATTTATTTGCCTTCGGTTTAGCTTTGCATCCTCTCGAGAAAAGTCTGCGTTCTTTTCCGAATATCAGCGACCGGATGGTCCGTGGTTTTTAATCGGGTGGGAAGATTGATTTGCTTCTCTTCTTCGCTTAATTTCCCTTTTCCCCCTCTCTCTTTTCTCTCCTCTTCCCCACCCATCTTATTCCCTTCTTTCTGGTCTTACACATTTATTCTTTTCCAAATGGTGAAATCACTGGTTACCACAGTTCCCAAATCTAGGGTTACCTCCCTCGCGTGCTCTCAGCCCTCCTCTCTCATCTCTCTCCCCCTCACCCAGCAACCTCTCCCGCATTACCTCAATTCCCCACCCCACCGCACGTGCGCACCAGCCCACGTGGGAAATCCCGGAAGGTGCGCCTCCCAAGCAACCTCTGACATCACCACCTTTAGCCTCCCGCTGCCATGTCTAGGGCGCAAGGCGGAGGCGGAGGCGGGGGCGCGGGGGGAGCTCCGCCGCCGACGAGCACTATATACGTGGCGAATCTGCCCCCGGGCGCGGATGAGGAGCTGCTGGCGGAGCACTTCGGCACAATCGGGCTCATCAAGGTGGGAATGGGTGGGGGTGGGCGGGGGTGGGTGGGCGTGGGTGACCGCGACACTAGCCAGATGAGCTCGTGGGCTTAATGGGTCCATGGCGGATAGGCGGACGAGCGGATGGGCGGATGGGCGGATGGGCGAAGAGGAAGGGACGTATGGGTAATAGAGAGACAACGTGAGCTGGGTTGGGGCTATCGGCGGGAATTCGAGGTTTGGGTGGGCAGGGACGCGAGGCTGAATGATTGAAGGGCGCGCATGATTGGGCTATCGGCGGATCCGTCAACGTGGGGGATTAGTGTGGGGGTCGGCTGGGGTTTAAGGGAGTGTCAGGGTCGGGTAAGGTACGCCTGTTTGGAAATTTGTTGGTACGGAATGGGATGAGGTTCTGGGATTTGCTGAAGTGACGGGGTGAGGACCTGGAGAGAAAAAGTTCATGGTGCATTTCTCCCCCTCCCCTCTTCCCCCTTCCCCATCCTCTCCCCCCTCCCCTCCCCACCCCCTGTCCCCCTCCCCTTCCCCCCCACTTCCCCCCGCCTCCTTCCCCAGAGGGACAAGCGCACGGGGCGGGCCAAGGTGTGGCTGTATCGCGACAAGGAGAGCATGGCACTGAAAGGCGATGCCACCGTCACCTACGACGACCCCTTTGCTGCCGCCGCCGCCGTCGAATGGTTCAACAACAAGGAGTTTCATGGGCGGACTATTGCCGTCTCGCTCGCTCAGACCAAGCATGGGGGTGCCGGTGGGGGCGGGGGAGGGGGGAATGGGTTTGGGCATTCTGGGGATGTGAGCGGGAGAGGCGAGGAGGGGGGTGGCGGAGGGGAGATGCGGGGTGCGGGAGGTGGGGATGGTGGGGCAGTGGCTGCAGCAGCTCAGGGGAAGCCGTGGCAGCAGCAGGGTGACTGGATGTGCCCCAATGCAACGTACGTGTGACTGTCATCTAGAGTGTGTGTCTCGTATCGTACCACACGTACCCCAAGGCCCTGGGATGCCGTGTTGCGCTGTGCTGTGCTCGAGACTGGGCTGGGAAAGCTCTGGGAATGCAGGGGAAACGCGTGGAGTGGAGGGTGCTTGGGTGGGTGGTTCGTTCGTTCAGTAATCGTGGCTTGCTTTGCTGCATGGCCTTCCTCCTCCCATCCCATCCCATCCTGTCCCACCCCCTCTACTCCTCCTCCCCTTCCCTGTTTTGTCAGCGTTCCTACACATCAGAGGCTGATCGTTCCTAAAGGTCACTTATCCCCCTTCGCGAAACTCCACTCACTTCCATCTTCTCGCACTTATCCGCCGCTTTGGCCCTGTATCGTTCTCTTATTAACCCCTCCATCGCACATCCCTCCCCTCACCCCTCCATCCCGGTCTTCCCTTCCAATTCCCTCCTCGACTCCTCCCCTCGCTCCTTCCTCAGATGCGGCAATGTGAACTTTGCCTTCCGGGGGGAGTGCAATCGCTGTGCCACGCCCAGACCAGCAGGGGGAGGCGGAGGGGTAGGGGGAGGGGGAGCGGGCATGGGAAGGGGGGGAGGCAGAGGGGGGAGAGGGGGCGACTCTGGGAGAGGCGGGCGAGGATTTGGAGGGCCCCCTGGGTTGTTTGGTCCTATGGACTGGCCGTGCCCCATGTGAGTTTGAACCACCTTGTGTTGGCCTTTTCTCGTGATAAGGCGATGGTTTGAGTCGGCTAAACAATCGAGGGTTTGGAGGGCCCCCCTGGACTGTTCGGTCCTACGGACTAGCCGTGCCCCATGTGAGTTTAATAAAAGCCACCATGTCTTCGCCTTTTCTTGTGATAAGTGATTTTTTTAGTCGACTCAAAAGTCGAGGGTTTGGAGAGCCCCCAGGGCTGTCTGGCCCCATGGACTGGCCGTGCCCCATGTGAGTTGAAGTGCCTTGACTTGGCTCCTCCTTACCTTCTCCCTCACCATCTCCTCCTCCCTTTCTCCTCCCAACCCCCCCCCCCCCCCCCCCTCCCCTTTGCTTGCCTATTTTGAGATGTGCTCGTGAGATGAGCCCACTGATTGTGCTGGTGGCTTACCTTATCAATGGGTCCCAACAACAATGCATGCATGAAACAGCCCTTTATTGTGCTCATGCTGGGGTTTAAGGCTCTGTCTATCCATACATGAATTGGAATTTGGAATTCATTCATCCGCGCCTTATTTGCCGCCCAACCTCCTATCATCACAACGCAGACTATCTAGTGCCCCTTGCTCCCATGTATCCCCATGCATGCACTGACCCTTGGTGTATCTCATACCCTGCATGCATGCACATGCCTCTCTCCCCTCCTGCTACCGCCGCTGCGCCTGTCTCCTGTCATCCCTGACCGCTTCCCCTCCTTGCCGTCCCAAGTCCCCCCTCGCCTGATCTCTCTCTTTCCTCCCCAACTGCGTCTGCGCCGCTGTGTGCGCGCACAGGTGTGGCAACATGAACTGGGCCAAGCGCGCCAAGTGCAACATCTGCATTCTGAGGCGCGTTTAAAGCCCCCACCGCCCCCGCCTCCCCCCCTTTGCTTGCCCGCCTCTGTCTGCGCGCGCACAGGTGTGGCAACATGAACTGGGCCAAGCGCGCCAAGTGCAACATCTGCAACACCAGCCGCCCTGGGACCAGCGAAGGGGGCGCCAGGTGGGTACCTACCTTTCCTTCCGCTACCCTCCTCACCCCTCAAAAGAATGGTGTGAATAGTTACGCTGATGGCAGGCAGCCAGTCAGACGGTAATGGGAAATGGAAATTGACCTTGCATAGACTTGAGTTGACTGCAGCTGTAGTTGTTCGATTTGACCCTCCAGTGAGGAAGCATTCGACTTGAAGGCTTGTATTCTCCTGTCACCCCATTTCCCCTCCCCGTCTCCCCCCTCCCCCGTTCTCTCATGCACCCTGCCTATGTGCTGCATAGCCAGTGACAGCCATGGCAGCCGTTTCCTCGCACAAGGAGCCGAGCTAAGCGGTTTCTTTTGAGTCGACTCAAAAGTCACCTCGTTTTGAGTCGACTCAAAAGTCACCTCGTTTTGAGTCGACTCAAAAGTCACCTCATAGCCAGTGACGGTCATGGCAGCCGTGTCCTCGCACAAGGAGCCGAGCTAAGCGGTTTCCTTTCCTTCACGCTGCCATTCACTGTTGTTCCTTGTTCTCAACCACCTCTCCCCTGCACCTCCCGTTTTCCAATCCGACGAGTTCCCACAACCCCTCTCCCCCCCCCCCCCCCCCCCCCCCCCCTCTCCCTTACCACGCCTCTTCCTCTGTGTGCTGGCGGCGGGTATATGGAGCTGGATGAAGCTTTTGTCTCAATATCTCATTCACTCTTGTGCCTTGTCACCCCGTCTCCCCCCTCTCCTGTATCACTCCTCCACCCCCCTCTCTGTATGCTGCATTGCATCCCCATCCAGGGAGGGCCGTGGCGGCGGGTACAAAGAGCTGGATGAGGCTGAGCTGGAGGAGACGAGGAAGCGACGCAAGGAGGCCGAGGAGGTGCGAGTGGGGGGGTTGGGAAGAAAGGGGAGAGGGAGTGGGTGAGGGGGGTACTGCTGGGATGGAAAGTGGTGGGTGTGAGTTGGGGGGTTAGCAGGGTGGTGCGTGAAAACGAGAAAGGGAAAGGATGAGGGGAGATTCTTGCTCCATTATCATGGAATGAAGGATACTTGTATGTTATGAGACTTGCCATAGGAAGGAAAGGACGCCTGATGGTCGCGTGGATCGCAGTTCACGCCATCACCTTATCACCCCTCTCCACCGTGCATTACCGGCCAGGACGACAGTGAGAAGGGTGCGATGAGTGAGTCTGGCAATCCTGATCAACAAGGTGGCTTTTTTGTCGACTCAAAAGTAACCCTGTGAACTGTTCAGGGATTCACCCTAAGGCTCACTCTCAAAAGTGACTCCCAACATACCAAGCCCACTACTCCCTGCTACCATTCCTATACCTCTCCTATGCACACGTTTGACCCTCTCTTCCCCCCAACCCCCCCCACTCTCTCCCCGGCCTCTGCTCCTGTGAGCTTTTAAGGGACTGAACCTAAGGCCTACTTCTCCCCACCATTCCCACACCTCTCCCATGCACACATGGTGACCCCACCCACTCCCTTCTCTTACCTCCCCTCGCCCCTTGCTCTCCTCCCTCCCACCCATCCCCCCTCACGCAGGACGATGGCGAGATGTACAACGAGTCTGGCAACCTCAAGAAGAAGTCTTATCTCTGCAAGAAGCCCACCACCCCCACACTCCTCTCATGCACGCATGGCCCCACTCCTTCCCCTCGCGCCCTGCTCTCCTCCGACCCATCCCCCTCACATCACACCAGGACGATGGCGAGATGTACGACGAGTGTGGCAACCTCAAGAAGAAGTTCCGCAAGAAGCCCACCACCCTCACATCCCTCTTGTGCACGCATGGCTCTACTCCTTCCCCTCCTGCCCTGCTCTCCTCCCAACTTATCCCCCCTCGCGTGCAGGACAATGGCGAGATGTACGACGAGTTGGGCAACCTCAAGAAGAAGTTTCGCAAGAAGCTCGCTGCTGATGCTGCTGCTGGAACCCCCCTCCCACGCCCTCCGTCTCCTCCCCTCCCCCTATGATCTCCCCTCCCCCCATCCCCGCTTCCCCAGGACGATGGGGAGATGTACGACGAGTTTGGCAATCTCAAGAAGAAGTTTCGAAAGAAGCTCGCTGCTGATGCCGCCGCCGCAGCTGGCAAAGGGGGTGGGGACGGTGGGGCGAGCGGAGGGGAAGGGGCGGGTGGGAAGGAGGAGGGGAAGATGGGGAAGGCACTGTGGGAGGAGGATCTGAAGACCATTCACCGACAGGGCAGCCGCAAGAATCAGGTGCCAATGCAGGCCACTTGTTTGCATGTCTGCCATGGCATGCTTGTAAGCTTATGAGAATCCGCTTGTGAGAGGTATCACAAGTGCTTAGGGCCTGGCCTGCTGGTATGGCGTTTGCTGGGTGGCTTTTGGCCGGGCAGGTTTGCAGCATTAGCTTGATGCACCGAGATCTGTATCGGACAGAATTTACCTGGTATGAGATGTCTCAAAAAAGAGTAGGCCCTCCAGGTTTTGTGCTTGCTGTTGATTCGTTATCACAGTGACACAGCCCACCTCCTCCTGCCCAGCTCACTTGCTCCTGAGTCCATCGTACCAACCCGCATGTGAAGCTGTTACTTTGGATCAGTGTGTTATCCTGTCTCAATGCCAACATGCTTGCCAGGATTCGGAGCGACGGAGCAATGCCCGGCCGTGGGAGGTGCAGGAGGAGGAGGAGACTTTTGAGTCGACGCCAAAGTCGGTGTGCTTTTCTTAAAAAAACAACTAACCACCGTGCTTGTGCTTGGCAGGATTCGGAGCGACGAGGCAATGCTCGGCCGTGGGAAGTGCAGGAGGAGGAGGAGGAGGAGCAGGAGCGGCGCGGAGAGGGGAGGGACCGGGGTAGAGAGAGGGAGAGAGAAGGGGATGGTTACCGGGACCGGGACAGGAGCAGAGACAGGGACAGGGAAAGGGAGAGAGACAGGGAGCGAGAGAGGGACGGGGATGGTTATCGGGACAGGGATAGGGATCGGGATAGGGAAAGGGATGGAGGAAGGGACAGGGACAGGGAGAGGGAGCGAGATCGAGACAGTTACAGGGAGAGAGACAGGGACAGGGGCAGGGACCGCGATCGTGACAGGGACAGGGATTGGGAGAGGGAGAGGGGCAGGGGTGGAGAGAGGGACTGGGACAGAGAGAGAAGCAGGGATCGGGACCGCGGGCGCAGATAACACAAGGGACAAGGGAGGGAGCCAGTGCATGGTTGTGGCACTTGGGAGGGAAGCATGGGTAACATAACATCAGTTCAGGTGTGTGTGACCCTTAGTGGGGTGTGTAACCGTAAGAAGGATGCGAATGGGAAGGAAGGAGAAGCAGGTTAGGAGCGCTGCATGAATCAGATGTTGAGATGATTAGGTAAAAGGGTTTCGGGTCGTGTGCATAACATGTTGCACAGTATGTTTGTAGGGCCCGTTATTTAGGCTAATGTGCAATGCCGTCACGCCATGGGGACTTGATTCGGCTGCACGCATATTTCTGATTTTGCCGCATACAATGGCCAAGTATGAAGAGGTATAGCTGTTAATCTGGGTGGCTTTGACTTTTGACATGTGGTTCGGTTCGCAAACTGAATCGAAGCCACACCTGTACGCGGTGCGGAGGAGAGTTGGTTTGGTTGACATAGGCGGCAGTGCCCTAGATATCAGACTTTAAAGTCTGATTCAGAGTCCGTTCAGACTTTTTTTTTGTACCTAGTCTGAAGTCTAGGAATATTTTTATGTACCTTGTCTGATTTTTCAGAGGTTTTTTTTATGAGTTGTCTGAAATTTCAGCCTAATTTTATAAGTGTAGGCTGAGCCTCAGACTTGTATCCAGGGTACACTATGCGCCCTTATCGGAGCGAAGTTTCCTGGAAGTTTCCTTTCAATATGCCCACTTCCGAGATGGCAGTGGAGTGCCAGGACGTGAGCAACGCACACTTCAACAGCTGGGACATCCGAATACACTCGTTCGTCGAGACGATCTTCCAGTTACGCTGAGGAAACGGTTGCGTGATTACGGGATTTTTAAGACAAAATCTCGTCACATGTAAGTTACCACTAATTTATTGTGCAGAATAAGAGACTTCGATGCTGATTCGCTGTCAAAACAACTGCAGCACGCACTGTTTTGAAATTGCGAGGGTCTTGAATCTGATTCGTAATTTCGTGGTGAAAGTTGTGAAAAGAACTAGGCAAGAATGATGCATTGAATGGAAGAATTGGGTACAAGTAGCAAACCCTAGTTGGGGTTGTACCCCATATTGGCTACCCCACTACAGCCTACAAACATAATACAGTTTAACACACCCCCATAGGCAAAGTGGGGGAGAACAAAGGGTCACAAGACCAGTCCAGCAAAGCAAAGCAAAGCCCAGGGTGGATCACAACGTCACCACACTCCGAGCACAAGCAAAGGCCACAAGGCCAGTTCACATGCAGTGCTAGATATAGAACAGGACAAGCAGCAAGATATATATAAAGTACAGTACAAAGAAAGTCAAGCAGTAAGCAAATGAGGAAAAGTGGACACAAGGCCTAAAGAAGTACAGTGCCGCTGATGATCACTAGGCGGGAGCGCCTTGGTGAAGATATCAGCAGTGTTGGCCTTCGAGTCCACGTACACAAGCCGAAGCTGACCGCGCTGCTGAAGCTCTCGAGCAAGAAAGTAGCGAAGAGCAATGTGCTTCGTCCTGTGCTCCAGTCTGTGCTCCTGACACAAGGCAAGGGCCGCCTTGTTGTCACCGTACAGAACTGGAGGAGAACTAGGCCGCTCTCCCAAGTCAGTCAGCAGGTAGGTGAGCCAGCGTAACTCCTGTGCAGCCATGGCTGTGGCGTAGATCTCAGCCTCACAACTAGAGCCGAGAACAGAAGAAGAGCGGGTGGACCGCCACGAGACAGAACCAGAGCCAAGGCTGAAGGTGTAACCCTGTGACGACCGCTGCGTAGCCAGGTCGTCCACCCAAGAAGCGTCCGAGTGACCAGTGAGGACAACTCTGTCGCGTCCTCCAAGCACCAGCCCCATGCCTGATGTACTGCACAAGTAACGCAGCACCCTCTTAGCAGCCTCCCAGTGCTCTCGCCTGTGTCTCCCAGGCGCAACGTAGCGAGCAAGGATGCTAAGTGGGTACGCGAGGTCAGGTCGCGTGCAAGTCATCAGGTACATGAGGCAGCCTACAAGCTCTGGGTACGGGCCACTCAGCTCTACGGACTCGTCCGAAGGTGGAGCTGAGAGCGAGTGGCTGGTAGCCAGAGGTGTGGCCTGTGGTGAGGAGAACTGGAAGCCGAAGCGCTGAAGGACCTGCTGCACCATGTGTGACTGAGTCAGGGTGATGGTGCGGCGAGCTCTGTCCCGGGTGATCTGCAAGCCAAGGTAGCTACGCAGTTCACCCAGGTCAGTGCAGGTGTGTCTCTTCTGCAGCTCCGACTTCACACGAGCGAGTGCCTCAGTGTCAGCAGTAGCAAAGACCAAGTCGTCGACGTACACGAGAATGTAGAACGGCGGTAGCGACGTGTCTGTGCGCAGAAACAGCGACGGGTCAGCAGTAGACGGCGCGAACCCAAGAGCTGCAAGTGTAGTCCTCAGTGTGTCGTGCCACTCACGTGGCGCCTGGCGGAGACCGTAGACTGGCCGGCGGAGGCTCCACTGGGTACCAGGAGGAAACGACCCAGTAAAGCCAGGTGGGCGGCGCAGCCAGATCTCCTCGTGCAGGCTGCCCTGCAGGAACGCTGTGCTGAAGTCAAGAGAGTGAAGCTCGTAGTTACGCTGAGCAGCAACGTGTAGCAGAACCCGAAGAGTGGTCATCTTCGGGGTGGGGGAGAAGGTCTGGAAGAAGTCAACCCCCTGACGCTGACTGAAGCCTCTAGCAATGTAACGAGCCTTGAAGACAGGTGGAGAACCTGGCGGCCGCTTCACC